AAACAAAACTTATGACTTGTAAATCCCAGAAGCTGCAAAATCAATTGCACTTATAAATGAATTGGCATTGAAGGTTACAAGATCCCAGCTGCTTAGGAGCAACTTAGACCTCCTAGAATAGTCAAAATCACCAATTTCAACTCCAGTGCCTTAATAACTTTAAGCAATTCATGAATAGGCTAGAGAAGTTATCCATGCTTTTCATTTAGCAGGAGTTAATGTCCTATGCTTCTAAGAACTGTGGAATGCTCCATTCTTCCTCTGAACAAGAGAGACTATTTTATGCTTGACTTGATTTCGATAAGAACTGGGAAACTGGCCACTCGGCCCAACTCTTCAAAGAACTCTTAGCCAAATTAAATAAGGATATTGTGATTCGCATTGACGGGAGAAATGAAGCATAAAAAAAATTAAAATAAGAGAAGACACCACAAAAATCATATCCCTCGAGTAGGAGATCAATGTGTTGACCTACTACATGGAGGAAGAACTAGATCACTCAGTGTTTGAAATAATTTATTGCAAGATTGGAATCAATATCTGCTAAGACAAATATCATCCTCTTAACTGGCATATGTTAGGAGTTAATGGAGTATATTGAGCAAGATATACTGCTATCGCTAATCATTATTTCGCTGTAATAATCACGTTTAATTGTTGAAACCTATCAAAATCCTTTCACCTTTACAAGAAAGAATGCCTTGGCTGAAAATGAATGTAATGATAAGTATGAAGCTAAAGAGACTATTTTTAACTGTGTTGTATCTAATGTACAGATGTATTATCTATCACTAGTAGAATATTGGGTAGACAATATGATTTACCAGAGATTGTATTAAATCCATCTGCAACTTTTGGAGGTCTTTCAGAACCAATGTGGTCTATTTAGTCATTTAAATATTTGCTGTTGGAACAAATAGAGTGAGTACTAAGACCTATTTATTAATATTCACAAGCTTAGATGGAAAGCCAGAAAGACAAGAATCATGACTATATTAGGGAACATCTTTCATAGCTGCGCCAGATGCTTCAAGAAAAGCAGGCTTGTCCAAAACTAGAGATGGATTGCTGGTGACTCAAGTGAACTTGAACATGCGCAGAGAGATAAAGGGTAAATGGGCATTCTCGATGACTAGAAGAGAAGATATGCACGC